TTGGGCTTTAAGCATCTAATTAAAGTGTGGGCCGGACTATATGTGTAGAGACCGGATCCATTAGGGTTTGTATTTGACGATGGGCCGAATACATATGGAAATATATAAAGGGTTATGGTCCCCAATTCATGTGTGATTTTCTCATTCTTTGTGGCATCCCATTAACACAAGAATACAAGAGAAAGCACATGAAGAGGAAGATCCATAAACCCACAATCAGGAATTAAGATGGAGATTCGAAGCAACCAAATTGAAAATTTATAGATCAAGATTCAAGATTCATTGTCTGCCGTCAGAAATCCACTATAAACGAATTATGAACATACAGTCAGCGAGACACGACTACCACTAGTATTTTCTGACCCCCTGACTACAATTTCTACAGCTCTCCTGGATTGTGTGCTTCTTTACCAAGTCACAGCTGCAGTTTTCAAAGCCCTCCTGGATTGCGCGCTCCTGCAGCAACTCTCGACTTTATGAATTCGTCTATCTCCCGTGGATCAACGAAAAACTCCACGTTCTCCAACAACTGGAACTCCAGTCACCTTTCCTTGATCTTCAGTATTCTGACAGATATGTAGGAAGTAGGGATTTAGTATTTGGATTAAGTGATTTTGATGTTTTCAATGCCAAGAACAAATCAATCAATGAAGGTTGAAAGCTACGGATGGAGAGAATATGAAGCAACCAATGTTTTATCAATGTTCAACCTTGTAAAAACTATCCAGAGGCGGTTGATATTTATAGTTTAGGTTTTGGGGTTGAATGAGCTGGACAAAAAGCCTTAAAAATGCGAATTAAAATTTTTCGGAAAACTCTATTGCTCGAGCGAAAGTTGGGCGACAGGTTGTCGCTCGAGTGAAGTCCTGGGGATAGGCTAGCGACAATGTTAGTGTTTCTACCACTCGAGCCTACTCATGGCGACTATCTAGCGAAATTGTGGTGCTGTTTTCCTTCTTTTCCATTCTTGAGCCCTAAACTTAATACAACTCAATTTCTACTATTTGCAAATACTCTTTGACCTTTACAACATATTTAACTTAGTCTATTTTTTTCACAGACTTGCCAATTACATCAAAAACCTAACATAAATCAAATCGATAATTAATTTTAACCACATATTTTATGAAACCCACAACATTTCAATCACATATTTAATCAAATTTTATCAAAATTTGTTAAAAATCTAATTTTATTAAAATTGATTTTTATTTTTATTTAAATATGAAATTATATTGAGACTTTGAATTTCGTTTCAAAATGTCAACATTATTAAAAGGAATAACTTACATTCTTATATATTTATTACATCTTTACTTGATGAGGAACTTACTCCTACAATGGTCTAGTAAGATGGTGCTCAATTTCAGAACATCAGTTTTGAGGCACATTAACGTCTTAATAGATTAGTTTGAGCTATTTCAGGTCATAACAGAGGTAGTTAACCTCTTAATAGAAGCATGTTAATTTTCATGTGCTTGAGATACTAAAACAGAGTTTGCTATGCATGTCGTAAAAGGTTCTATACGGCATACATGTGAATGCGTATAAAATCACGTCGTAAATTATGTCTCTTTTCGTGACATGCAATGTATGACACAAAAACATAAAAAGTATGTAGTTAATAAACTTTTTACGACGTGCAATGCAAGCCGTAAATACTTTAACGTTTTGATATTTTATAGAATACTTATATTCAAGCCATAAATGTCGAATTAGATCTTTTACTGTGTGATCCCACGTGCCTTAAGAAATATTACGGCATACGTGTGCAAGCCGTGAGAAATATTATGGCATGTCTGTACAAGCCGTAAATGTCCAAACATGTTTTTTAGGGCATGCACACTTGTTTTGTAGATTTCAAACTTGATTGTTCGTTTCTTGTTTTTTAGGGCATGCACACTTTGTTATTTGTTAGTTGCTAATTTGCAATAAATAATTTTTTTTTATTCTACTAAATTTTTTGGAGTATTATTGCCATATCTTTTAATTATTGGACTATATTTCCTTCCTAAATACGTTTCTTCGAATTTTCAAAAAGAAATTTTGAACATTATGGCCAAAAGAGTACAACGAATGATTTGAGACGAAGTTCGGAACGAATGCTTTCACATTCTTATTGATGAATGGCTTGTACGCGCTTCTTTACAAACACTGGTTTTTTTTTAATGATGTGTGGTTACTAATGCTAAAAAATAAATAATAGCCACTTCAATACCGTAAAATTAGAAAATCGTGATGTGCGGTCATCATTCTTTGGGGAAAGTTGCAAACCAATTATAGTCATAAATATTACATCGACATTCTAGATTAGAGATAAATATTCAATTAAAACAAGGAATTTTTCGAATTATACGAAAAACACTTTTAACAGATAAATCAAGAACATTATTCAGTAACACAAGTAAACATTATGCATAATTTCCGAAGTGATTACTTCAATTAACCCTTTTTGGTCAAAGAAATTACCAAGTCTATGTATTTTGCTGTAGTTCTGGAAAAATAATCACCAACCATCTCTGCATATCTTTTAAACAATTCATCCATGGGTTCTCTTCCAAAATGGACTTCCAGCATTGATTCAACCACAGCCCTAATTGTTTTAGCCACTTGCTGACCCCTTGATAAATTATAATTTTCGATTTTATTATTGTATTTTTCGAAATGATTATTGCCTGGAGCACCCCCATCCCATTCAATCTCGATGGCCTCAAGACAATTAATGGTGAATGAACTTTCTTCTTGTACTACAGATTTCACTTCCTGAGCAGATGGAGCATAATAGGGTGCATTGAAAGAATCAATCTTCTCTTCTTCAATTAGACCCTGAAATCATCAATTTTGTGCAAGCATAAGGAATTGCATGCATGCATACAATACACAAATATGAAAAGGACCATTCATTTGATCAACTTTTTCTCTGAGAAATAGGCGAAATAGAATCAAATTGAATTTGGGATTCCGTATCTCATTTCAGCTTTACGTGAAAAAACCAATTGATGTTAAGGGATTTCTTCTAACAACAAAGGAAACAATCCACAATAAGTGATATATTTTCACATTGCTTCTTGACAAACGAGTGGGCTATTTCTTTGTGAAATTGCCCGATTTCATATGTGGCAATTCCATAAGATATCTTCATTAGTTGGGAAAGAATCCTCATGAATTGGATTCTTTGAGAAACGTACTACGAGAGAACTTGATTCGGTTACACATAATTTTTGGGGTTGTTTCCAGCTTTTGAGAAAAGTTGATGAAAAGTGTTATTGAAAAATTTATAAAGTTGTGAATATATAAAATGTGCTATTAAAATTAATTTTAACTTTGACTTCAACCTTTTAGTAATTTTTTAAGATTTCTCAAATATGTAGTTAATAAAAAGGAAGGAAACATAAAGTGACTAGAAAAGTTGTATAGGTGTTGGGGACAAAAGGCGATGGTGGAGTGGGGGAAGGGATTGTGTTCGGAATTTTTATCTCTTTATTTTTTCCATTTTGATTAAAAATAGAGTTAAATTATCTTTTTAATGAAAATCAAAGTTTTTAAGGTCAATTGCATGAAAATCGTTTACCAGGAATCGATGAAACCCAAAACTTAAAAGTTGGGATCTAGCTGCCAAAATCCGAAAATTGCGTACCAAGTTGGACAATGTCAATAGGTGGAATACTTATTAACAGGATAAAAAACATGATGCACCAATCATTTTGCAGAAAATAATTTACCTCTAAGGCCATACTCATGAGAGCTTGTGCTAAGAGTTCCCACTGCATGCAACTCTCTTCTGATGAGGGATCAGCAGAGACTCTGCCCATGAATGACAACACCATGTGTCCACCAACAACCATTTCTGCCGATCGGGATTTCAGAAATAATGAGAAATCTCTCTTAAACTGTGATAAATATGCATCGAATACGCTTCTTGGACTTGATTTTGATATATAGATCTTTCCCTTGTTCAGAGGCATGATGTTTGAATCCAAAGGTCGTGGAACCTGCAGTTAATGATAATGTGTTTTACCTTGTCAAGTTGTAAAAATTAAGAAAAATGAAAAATATCATTGTTGGGTATTAGGTTTCACAAAATTAAAGTGTAGAGACCAGATGTTTGTTTTAGATTGATGAGGGGCCGATTTGAAACAAATGAAAGACAATGACCATTCATTATCTTATGATTATATGGGGTCATGGTCCCCAATTTGTTGTGTTCTTCAAGATTTTCTGCATCCCCATCAACAGAGATTGAAATTGAAAAGAAGATCACAAATAAAATTGGAAGATCATAACTCATTCAGGCAAACAATCAAACATATGGATCAAGGTACGCTTCCGCTTTTATTTAGTTGTTCTCATTGATTTCAACGTGGATGATTTGTATGTGTGAAAAAGGTTTCTGATAATGTTTTGGATCGATAATCTCTTTTATATTTTCTATCAAATGATAATGTGTTTTACCTTGTCAAGTTGTAAAAATGAAGAAAAATGAAAAATATCATAGTTGGGTCATGGGTGTCTGCTTATAGAGGTAAAATTCATATGATTAATTAATTATGTGTTTTAAGACTCTATGTAACTTGTCTATGAGAAACTGTGTATGTGTTCGCCTTGATGAAATGGGAACCAAATGATGGTCATTGCATAGTTGTTCTTTTTTCAGATTATGGGGATCAAATGAATTTTCCCCTTGTGTTACGTCACATCTAAATTACTTTGCCTTCATGCTATTGATTATGGGGACAAAATGATATTTTCCCCTTGTGTTATGTCACATCTAAATTACTTTGCCTTCATCCTATTGAATATGGGGACCAAATGATATTCTACTTAAGGTTTAGACCCCATTATGTTTTTTTTTTTCCAAATTTCTCTCTATTTTAATTTTAACCACACATCCTCCAAATAAAATAATATTACACACAAATCTAAAAATTTCCATTATTTTTCAACCACACATTCTCCCATCAACTACTATTCCAAAATTTATAATTTCTTAAAATGGGGGCCAAACTAACTTAATTTAACATCTAAATTAAAAACTATCTTATTAGGGATACTTTTAAGTCACGAGTATTTCTCTCATCTCTATCGTTAAAGAAAATTGTTCATGTCTTACCGCCAAATCATGATAATATAAATAATATTTCAAGGTAATGATTGTAGAGTTACCTGAGAGAGCCAGTGGAGACTCGAAGAAGAGTGAACAAAATGTAGACTCTTTTTAGGAAACAATCTCCCATAAAAAGAGCCAGGCACACCTGAAATAAAGCACCCTTCGGGCCCAATGTTCTTCTCCGTTTTGAGTTGATTGTAGAACTCCGGCAAAGAGATGAATACGTTATTGAAATCATTACCGGGAAGATCGTTCAATGAAACCCTAAACTCCGGCAACAGAATTCCCTTTTGGTTAATTGTGGCATATATTGTATCTATTATATCAGAAATTACCATTAGAGTGTTAGGTCCAGATGAACATCCCAAATCAGCAATTCCCATGCTATCTGAGAAATTCTTTTCCAGACACTCTTCCACTGCTTCGTGGATTATTGAAGTTGCAACTGATATTATCTTGCTCTGCAAATGCATGGAAACATTTCAAAATACTGTATCAAAAAACCAAACAACAGAGAAAAAGAAGAGCTTTCAAGGTCATAGCGTTTTGATTTAAATGGGTGGATATTAATTTAAACATATACACAATTTTTTTTGTAAATGGGTGGCGCCAAAAATATTTCATTTGATGACTTTTTAAGTGAGGAACAAAGCTAAAACATGTCTTCAAAAGTTCTTTTCCATTTGTTTGACTAAATTGGATGAGATTAAAATCTAATAGACCAAGTTTCTATGGAGTTTCTCAAAATTTTGACCTTTATTAAAATTGCTATTTAGAAGTTTTCATCCAGCAAAGTAGGAGACGTTTGGATTTTCAACTCCATGGACGTGAAGAACAGAAACGATATTGTCACTTCAATAACTTTTATTTTTTTCAAAATATCTATTAAGGAAAAATTCGTTAGTACTTAATCTCTTCGTGATAAACAAATCTATTTTATAAATTCTATGACACTGCGAATCCAGAATCCCATAGTGTGCAAAAGATAAATCCCATACTAGTGCACGCAACATCACTAGTATCATAGTAAAGATAAATTTAGAATTTTGCTAGCATCGATAATGGAATGTTAGCAAGAAACGGAACCTGCACAATTGAATTCTTGGCATAGCTGGTTTCCCCTTCTCCTGTGTTCATATGAAGAACTTGCATCACTTCCATCTCTCTCTCTCTCTCTCTCTCCTGAATTTCCACTGGTATCTAGATTTGATCTGAATGCATTATGAATATGTTGCTTCTATTTATAAATATAGAGAACAAGAAATGGGACAATTTCATTTTAGTCACCAAACTTATAGCTAAATGTTAGTCACTGGCTTTTAAAAGTAATAAATTACGGTGCATCATAGCCTTTTTGCCCTGGAAAATTATAAAAAATCAGGGGTTTAGAGTTTACTTTTTAAAAATCAGGTGCAAAGTTTGTTTAATAAAAAACCAGGTAATATATTAAAACATAACTCTAATCCCAAACAAAACCTAAATCATTTCTATTCTATTCCTCCTCTTCATTCTCGTCTCCCTCTCTACCCTCTTCCTCACCGTCTCTACCTCTTCCTCGCCGCCACCGCCGCGCCTCCGCCTCCCTCCCACCCTCCCTCCCACCTCAGCAGATAATCACTGCTGTCCCCAGCAGCGATTCGCTGCTGCTGGTTCCCAGCAGCAGAGATTTTGCTGCTGGGAGCAGCGATTTCGACGCCGGGAAAGCGCTTTCCCGGCAGCGATTTCACTGCCTTTTAATTTTTTTTTCCTTCTTCTGTGTTCTCTAGTGGTGCAGTGGTGGTGCCGTGGGTGTGTGTTGTGGAGGTGGCAGCGACGGATCTGTTGGTGGTTGGATTGTTGTCTTTCTTTCTTTCTTTTTTTTTTTTTTTCTAGTGAGTGGTGTGCTGTGTGTTGGTGGTTATTGTTGGTGGATCTATGGTGGTGGTGGCGGTGGTGGTGGTCGTGTCGCGGTGGCGATTTTGTGGCGGGGATGGCGACGTTGGTGGTTATTGTTGGTGGTGTGTGACCAAGTATTTGGTTATCTGTGACCTAAAAATTTTGACAAGGTAACTGAAAAATAATCTGTAACCAACAAATGTGACTCAAAAATAATCTGTGACCAACTAATTTAAAAAACTGTGACCTCAAAATAATCTGTGACCAAATAATTAGACGATATGTGACCAGTAAATAAATTCGTGACTTATAACTAAGAATAAGTGACCATTAATTACAAAAATGTGACTTTATTATCTTTATTTAATACAAATAAAAATAAAACCTGATTTTTGAACTATAAACCTGATTTTTGAATTTAGAAACTTAAACACCTTATTTTTTATTTTTTCCCATTTGCCCTTTGTACAAGATTAGACTGAAGGTATGAAAGGGATATAGCCTTTTGTTTTATTTTTCTCGGCTAGCCCGTAGGTTGTAGGCCCAACCTACGTAGCTTGAACTATAATGACCACAATACTTAACTACGTTCCTTCTTACACTATCTACATTCATTCACTCAGAATTAGAATTGTAACATACGTCACTATGCTATGTTCAACCTCACGCTCTCGCTAACTAATAAATCTTTGCTCTCCACGGGCTTCCCTGGAAAAGTTTATTTCAACAGGTTAAATGTTCAGAATTTAAAATAATAATGTCATTCCACTAAGAAAAATAAATTGTAGAAAGAAATAAAGACAAAGGATTTATATAGGTTTGTCCCAATGCGATACTACGTACTCTTCCACCCCTATAGTAACTCACTAAGGCCCTGTTTGGTACACATTATTTTTTTCATTCTGATTCTTCCACTCATTTTCAACCACACATTCTTCAATAAAATAATATTTTTCATCACATCAATAATTTTTCCTTCATTTTTAACCACACATTCGCCATCAATCTACTATTCAATAATACATTCTTTCAAAAGAATGTGTCCCAAACACACTCTAAGATGAAGAAGGTTTATAAGAGAAAATCGCATAACTTATCTTCTATAATCTCTTTTTCTCTTTTGTGATGGTAACATAAACGTCTAACGACGACTCCCTATTTATAAGTCAAAGTCCGCTAAAGCCATAATTTACAAGGTACCATCCCCAACCCTTGCAGCCTCTCCCCACCACTTTTGTTGGAGACTTGGAGATTTTAAAAAAAAAAAAAAAATTTTGAGAGGAGAGAATATATTCAATAGAGTAATCAACTTTTTATTTCTTGAGTTGATATGTATCAAAATGCTAGAATCAAAAGCCTTTTGTAGAATGTACAAAGCATGTATCTAATCTAGTATACGTATCCACTTTCTCCTAAAATAATTCATGAATATATCAAATACATGAATCAACTAGTACATGGATTCATTATGTAATGACCCAATTTTTAGTTTAGATTGCCACCAAAAATGGGTCCTTATCCTGTGCTTCCTTGATTCAATCCCGAAGAGTAGGTTGAATCATGAACGCTTTTATTATTGCTGTAGTCTGGGTTGGTGGAGTGATGACTTCTAAAATCAGTTTTTCAAAGTTTTTTATTAAATGTTCCTGTACCGTGGGTAAAACAGCTAACTAGGATCCCATCTTCCTGCTTAAGGCATCTACGACTACGTTGGTCTTACCCGGATGGTAATGAATTGTACAGTCTTAATCTTTTACTAGTTCCAACCATCTCCTCTGTCTCATATTTAGTTCTTTTCGTGTGAAGAAATATTTGAGGCTCTTGTGGTCTGTATAGATTTCACACTTCCCACCATAGAGATAATGACACCATATCTTTAGGGCGTGAACTACCGCTGCAAGTTCTATGTCATGTGTTGGATAATTTTGTTCATACTGCTTTAGGGCTGTCGGTGGGTCGGTTCCGTTCTGAAGAGAACCGAACCAACCCAAAACTTTCGGTTATTTAATAAATGGAACCGTCGGGTCCAAATATAATTATGGAACCGTTCGGGTTCGGTTCGATTTCGTACCATAATTAAATTTTTTAATATTTACAGCAACACTACATAAATACAACTAATGACATTTCATTTGTAACTTTTATGAGTTAACGTAACCCAATTTAAAAACATATAAATAACTAGCCGTCCAATAAGATTAATTCAATGCATACAAATACCAAAAAGTAAATATTAATATTACAACAAAACTACATAAAGTATATTCATTTGTTTCAAATTAAAATGAGCTAATGGATTTTAAAAATGATTTGGGTTTTAAAATTAAAATTATAAAATAATCTGATTTATTAAATTAATTTGCTAATTTGTTTAGAAAAGAATAAAATAATTTAATTAATTCCATATAAAAAATAAAGAAAATTATTTAGTTTTNAACTCTACAAGCATAATTGAAAAGGTATGGTAATAATCTAATTTATTTAATTAATTTGCTAATTTTTTTAAAAAAATAAAATAATTTAATTAATTCAATATAAAAAACAAAAAAATTATTTAGTTTCGGTTTTTATTCGGTTCTTGGTCTAGATCCGACCCAAACCCATCGGTTCTCGATTCAAGTATTTAATTTATAAAGAATCGCTCGATTCATTTCGTTTCGGTCCGATTCGGTTCACGACTTTTGGACACCCCTATACTGCTTCAACTGTCTAGAGGCATAATCAACTACCTTTCCATGTTGCATCAAAACATAGCCTAAACCCCGCTTGGAGGTGTCAATGTAAATCACAAATCCATCAGAGCCATCTGGTAGTTCCTCAAGGTTTCAAGTACCACTCGGAGCTGTTCTTCACGCTGCTTCTTATTTTTGGAGTACACGAGTATGTTGTCAATAAATACAATGACGAACTGGTCTAAGTATTGATGGAACACTTGGTTCATTAGATCCATAAATATAGCTGAAGCATTGGTTAAACCGAAAGACATGACAATGAATTCATAATGTCCATAACGAGTCCTGAAAGCAGTTTTCGGTATATCGCTTGCCTTAACCTTCAATTGATCGTACCCCGACCTCAAGTCGATCTTCGAAAACACCGTTGCACCCTTTAACCGGTTTAATAAATCTTCTATTCTTGGCAGTGGGTATCTATTCTTGACAGTCAGATGATTCAACTCTCTATAGTCAATACACATCCGCATACTCCCATCCTTCTTCTTCACGAAAAGTACTGGGGCACCCCAAGGAGATACGCTCGGTCGAGTAAAACCTTTCTCTAGCAATTCTTCTAACTGTAACTTCAATTCTTGGAGTTCTTTTGGTGCCATTCGGTACGGGGCCTTAGATATGGCAGTGGGTATCTATTTTTGACAGTCAGATTATTCAACTCCCTGTAGTCAATACACATCCGCATACTCCCATCCTTCTTCTTCACGAAAAGTACTGGAGCGCCCCTAGGAGATACACTCGGTCGAATGAAACCTTTATCCAGCAATTCATCCAACTGTAACTTCAATTCTTGGAGTTCTTTTGGTGCCATCCAGTACGGGGCCTTAGATACCGGTGCAGCTTCGGGAACCAAGTCAATTGTGAATTCAACTTGCCTATCTTGTGGAATACCTGGTAGATCTTCTGGAAACACGTCTGCAAAGTCTCTCACAATGTTAATATCATTAATAGTCGTTTCTGCATGTTGGGAACCGGTGATATTAATTAGGAATCCTTGACATGACTCCTTTCTCAACATCTTAGATGCTAACCTCTAATTCAATATTCATTTTCACACATGCAAGATTTGACTTAGCTACGAAGGATGCAGAGATAAAAGAGTTTGTAGCTCCAGGGTCAAAAAGTACATAGGCAGGTACATCAAATAATAACAGAATACCTGTTTTTGAATTTATAGTGTTAGATGTAGCGACCATGGGGCAGAGTTAATACAATGTGCGGTATTAGTTAAAAAGCCTATAAGCAGGTATGAAAAATAATGACAAAATACCTGCCATCATATTCGGATTCTGATATGCTTCATACTGATTTAGTGCAAAGACTCGGGCCTTCCCATTTTTGTTCTTATCTTGATTATCATCCTTCTTCTTTGGAGGCTCTGTACAGTTAAAAGCAATATGTCCTGGCTTACCACACCGAAAGCACATGTTTTTCCCAAGTAAGCATTCACCTCTGTGGAGTTTATTACATTTAGGGCAAGGGGGAATACTCCCACTCGTCCCACCAATACGAATCCCAGTGATTGGTCTTTTATTCTGCCAATTACGTCTATCCTTG